GGAGGATGAGTGCTTGATCTCAGTGTAGTACATTCTGCCACTGTGTCATTCTGCCACTGGGCAGCAACGAAACACATTGTTAGAATCACAGAACGTGCTAAGCAAAGTTGTGAACTTCAAGTCTTGTTTACATCATCCATCAATCAGGTGAAGGGAAAAGATCGGTCATATTGATTACAGTCATTGGATAGTTCTGGGTTGTAGGTCGTTTGACCTTCCCCTGGACCTCTGATTATGATTAGATCTTCAATAGATTCAAATTAGTATGGCTGTACACAGGCAAGAACAACACTGAGCAGGAGGAGCTGAGAATATTGCTTGTTAAAGATAACACAAAAAGAAAGAAAAACATTTGCTGGCTTTATTTGTATTATGCTTCCATAAGTTTAGAGGATTTTATCCAATACAAGGAGCGCACACTCCGTCATCCTAATATGCATGTTAATAGGGAGACTTAACAGCTGTCAGTGCATCTGAAGAGAAATGTTCATAGGAAAAAGCATCTAAAATGAGCATACAAGAGAAGTAATGTTGGATCTGTAATATTTCAAATACAACAGGATATGCATTCAAGTAAATGTGTATGCAAATTACATGCAGCCCCGAGGCTCTTGGAGAGTTTCCAGTGATGCCCTCGAGGCTGCAAACTGCTGATTTAGCATATGAGCCTAACTACTATCAGTAAAATGAATGCATTAAAATAATATTGGAAGAATGTACGTATCAGGGACTTTTAAATAAGGTAAATATTGGTATAGGATCTGGGAAGCTCCCATGAATATTTGATTTCCAGTTGGAAAATACTGTGATTTTGTGATTTTTCCTCATTTTATGTGGAATAAACAATGAAAACAATCAAAAATTGTGAATCTTTAATTAGTTGTACTCATGTTATTTTTGAGGATAATTATGCCACAACTATGAAACTTGATTACAAAAAAATTTGATTAACAAACTTGATTCATTAAGTACATCTTCTGTGCTCCTAACACCTTTTGATATGAATAAAATAAATAGGAATTAAACATGAATTCTCACTTCCCTCTCCCTAATACTTTTGTGCAATGTAGATCAACTTTTTAATAGAAAACCTTAAATATAAAACATCAAAATCTTATTTTTCTGATCAATTCCACACACTAATGTATCAAAACCTGTAAGAAAAGAAATTTGGGTAGCATACAACGCAATTAATTTGATATAAGGATACAATAATTTATTATTAATTTTCTTAAGTACATAAGGGACAAAAACATTAATTGTATGTGCTTTCCAAAGAGTGTCTGCCATTTTTGTTCTCAATATTTAAGAAAACAGACATATATGAGTAGTGGTGTTTTATTTTGTTTTGTTTTCACAGAAGACCGAGCTTGAGCATCCTCATCTAATATGTGATCCATTGTTGATTTTGCTCTGTAAATTAAGAGACTTAATGGAACATTGTCCATATCCCATCTGCAAAGAACTTTGTCCTTAATTTGTTCAAGAAATATGAAAGAAAGAAGCTAGAAAAAATAGCAACTAAATGTCCAAACATGAAAATTGACAGAGTTTGCAAACGAAGGAGTTACTCGTTGTTATCCTAATACTTGACTGAGCACTGCTACAGATTTGCTAAATGTTCATCTTCATCCTGTCCTAGTCAAATTAATCTCTGGTGGTGTTTTATAAGCAACTGAAAGTCTCTCTCTATACCTGCATATTTAATTGTTTTCTCACTGCTTCACACCCATTAAATATTACTGATAAATTACTAATTCACAATGCAACCAAAACCAAAACATCACTCTTGAAAAGTGGGCCCACGTGAACCTCATGATGTTCAATAATGTGAAGTGCAAGGTGCTGCACTTGGATTGGGGCAATCTCAAATATGTGTACAGACTGGGAGAAGAACTCGTGGGCAGCAGCCCTGCGCAGAAGGACTTGGAGCTCCTGGTGGACAAAAAGGTGGACATGAGCTAGCAGTGTGTGCTTGCAGCCTGTACTGCCAATGTTATCCCAGGCTGCATCAACAGAGGGGTGGTAGCAGGGACAGGGAGGAGATTGTTCCTCTCCACTCTGCCCTCATGAAGCTCCATCTGCAGTACCGTGCCCAGGTATGGGCCCCCCAGACATAGAAGAGCGAAGATTTAGGTTAGATGTTAGGAAGAAATTATTTAATCAGAGAGTGGTGAGACACTGGAACAGGCTGCCCAGATAACCTGAATATGCTTCATCCCTGGAGGCATTCAAGGCCCTGAGCAACTTGATCTGGTTGATGGCAAACAACCCATGGTAGGGGGCTGGAACTGAATGATCTTTAAGGCCCCTTCCAACACAAACCATTCTATGATTCTATGATTCTCTTCCAAACCGTATATTTTGATTTGTGTTTTAAGTCTCATCCATTCAGAATGTTTCTTCTTTCTTTTTTTTTAATTAAAATGTGCATTCCCCAAAAGATAGTTGAGTTTCTCATAGTGAGTATATGAGTAACAGAAGCTATATCTACATTCTCAGTTCTCTGTTCCTGAAAACAACTTCAGTAGTACAGCAGTGTTAAATACTGCGTATTTAAAAGCCATCCAGAATGTAACTAAAATTTACTGACAAAAAAAGGAAGGGAAAACAAACAATTCAAACCCCTATCCTTTTAGTCTTTTTCTTTTCAATTAATTGCAACTTCATGTACATGCAGATGATGCTTAAGACATAAAATTGATATCTGTGTGTGAATCAAAAATGATAAGATCAAATACTAAGTAGATTCAGAACATGTCTCCTTGTTATTGTTATTATCTGGACAACAATCAAAAAAATGATTGTGTATTGCTTGGAAAACTTACCATTCAGAATTTCAGGGCTTTATAAAATGAGCAGAAAACACCCCCACTTGTTCCAGTACCTTCATATTGAAGTTTATACACCAAAGGGGGTAAGATAAACTGAGGAAACATTTATTGGATTGCTTTTGCAAATCCCTAATTCGACCTCTCACGCAAAAGATATTGAGCAGGGCTGTGGTGAGCAAGGCAGGCATGGAAACTGTGTAAAAGGTATCATCCCTCTCTTCCCTGAGTATCTCAGGAGGCACAGAGAGGGCCAATGGTCACCTCTGTGCTCAGGTCCTCAGGGTATCACTGCTGCTAAATGTGATTTCAGGCAGATCTGTGGAAAGCCTTTTGTTATCAGTTACCAGTACACATTTTAAGAAATAATCTGGGAAAATTCTATTTACAGCACGGGTCTGAAATGTTATTGGATGGTTTTCTGATGTAAAAACTGCATTGTTTCAAAAATCTGTGTGGGAAGAAAACAAAAAAATGCCTTCCCTGGCTGCTTTTGTGTTCCTAGCCTTCAATAGAAACAGGTTTTTTTGTTCAGTTAAGTGTTCTGACAATAGAAATCTGTAATGCAAATATATAAAATGAAGGTTTCATGTATCAGCACTGCTGCATCTGATGTGAAAACCATTTTCTAGAGACCTGCTGCACTCAATTACCCAAATCAGATTTGCCCATGGACTACAGCTTGCATTTGTATCCATTTCATGAACAGTGAGAGTGTGGAGAGAACACTGTTGTGTTTGTAAAAAAACTTTGGGCATGTAGAAGATTCATTAACTAAATTGTTAGCAAGCACAGTTGAGTTTTGTAGTGTGGTAGAAATCTGCTTTAAAAATACAGCAAATAGGAGAAATCTCCTTCAGAGACAGCCTCACCTTTGTATTTTGGTATTCTAGCACTTTAGTTACCACTTCTTTCTTCCCATGAATTATCTTAATATAGAAGGAAAAAATTCTCCATGCTTTGAAGGAAGCAGACTGGTTTTTAAAGATTTTTGCAGATCTGCATAACAAACAGTGAGACTGGGGATACAAGTCAGAACAGAGGAATAGGTAGCATCACAATCTGCAGCAAGATTGCACGACTGAGGCAGTCCTTAGATGAGATTGACTGGACTTTGTGTTTGTTCATCTCTATTTTCATCTGCATTGCCTGAAGACCCTAACACTGCCCTACAGCTGACCAGTACTGAGCTGGGATTTGCTAACAAGATCAATGGGGCAGGAGGAACATCCTTCACATACTGGCAGACAAACAAAGCATTTGCTGCCGTGCCACAAATTCTTCGTGTATCCGTATTTGTAAAGGATCTAACACTGCTGAGGAGGTAGATTTATATTTACTTGAGCAATAGCTAAGGTGGGAAGCAAGTGCATATTGCCATCGGATGGTCATAAATGAGGACTTTAGTTAAGGGTGGGAAGATTAAATAAGTGCAATGGATTTTAAATATTAAAAAAATATATCAGAATTAATGTGTATTCAACTGTAAATTACATTTTGATTTTATCTTAAATTCTGGAAATGTACTGAGAGAGGTTATATCCAATAAGCAACATTATGGTAAAGATTTGAGCAAGAGAACAGTTGTTGCTTTATATAATATCTGCAGAAATTCTGATCTTAGCCAAGCATCTCCCAGCGCTAAGAATGACCTATTGTAGTCAGCAGGATAGAAAATAGGAGAATCAAGAGCTCTTTTTTTTGGGGGTTTTTTTTTGGAAAGATTAAAAAGTAATTAAATCAGAAGAGTGCACTAAACTACACTTTAAAACAATTTTTGAAAGAAAACATAAACTGTATGTAAACAGGATGTGTCTCTAGACAGATACAGGTTTGTCTATAAACACATTTTTTTGAAAACATACGTGAAGATTTTCTCAGTGACATAATACTATAAGGGCCATTCAAATTATGTATCACTCAACAAAACTAATATTTTCAGTGTGTTGCACCCTTTTCTAAACTATCCTTTCTTTTACAAATTTAATGCTTTGATTCACGTAAAAAAAAAAAAAAAACCAACAAAATAAAACAAAACAAAGCAATTCAGAGAAACATGGTTATTTTCCTAATCAGTCTTTGCTTACTGTTTGAAATACGTCTCTCCCGAAGAGCAGCTAGTGAATCTAGAAACACGTCCATGTGTTTGTCTCAGCAGAATCCCCATACCTTTATGGCAGTGGAAGCAATCTGGATGTGATGGAGTCTGCGCAGTGTGCTGTCCCTGTCAATGAAGTAGGAGGCTGCGAGCTGGTGCAAGGTCTCCAGAGTCACCACAGAGCTGTTGGAGCTGGGATCACTTCCATCTGACCTCTTGCTCAGCTTCCTTTTGTCCACAAAAATTGTGAGCGACTCCTCTCCTGCATACAGAAACAGAAACCACAGTCTCCATCAGTGACATCCTCTGCATCTCTTGTTTTGACAGAAATAAGGTGTCAAGTTGATGCTTGCTATAGCTATTAGATAAACCTCCCTGGTGGTAAATTGAGGTACTTCAGTGCTTAAGCACATGCACAAGAGCTTTCATGGACTCAGTGCTTAATAGGATTTCAGATGACCATTTTCAGACAAGAAGTTATAAGGATGGTTTTTAAAAATACACTGCCCACTGTCAGCATGTAACCTTGCTCTTAAATTTTTCTGGAAAAAAAAAAAGATTAAAAAACAGAAAAAAGATAAAAAAAAAACAGAGGGGAGGGGAGGGGAGGGG